CCCTCCACCCATTTCGGCACACCCCTCACACGCTTCGTGGCCCCATAGGGAGCTCCACCGAAGGCCCCAGTGGCAGGGTTCGCATTCCTCCCCGCCACCCATTTCGGCACACCCCTCACACGTTTCGTGGCCCCATAGGGAGCTCCACCGAAGGCCCCAGTGGCCTGGCTCGTATGCCTCCCCAACACCCATTTCGGCACATCCCTCATACGTTTCGTGGCCCCATAGGGGATTTCCATTGAAGGCCCCAGTGGCTTGGTTCGCATGCGCCCCCACACCAATTTCGGCACACCCCTCACACGTTTCGTGGCCCCATAGGGAGCTCCACCGAAGGCCCCAGTGGCTGCGTTCGCATGCCGCCCCCACACCAATTTCGGCACACCCCTCACACGTTTCGTGGCCCCACAGGGAGCTCCACCGAAGGCCCCAGTGGCTGCGTTCGCATGCCGCCCCCACACCACCTTCGGTGCACCCCTCACACGTTTCGTGGCCCCATAAGGAGCTCCACCGGAGGCCCCAGTGGCAACGTTCGCATGCCGCCCCTACACCCATTTCGGCACACCTCTCAAACGGTTCGTGGCCCCATAGGGAGATCCACCGAAGACGGTACTCACACCAGCATTACTCACAACTGCATATGGTTGGGTCCTTCGCCAGGCTAATTGGCTGATGCTTGGGTCCATCCGTGCGAGGGATGAGCTTAGTAATGCGAACTCCTGACCTCATAGCGGCTCTCGCCTTGCCGATGTTCAATTTCAGCTTCGTACATGTCGGCTGCTTAAGTTGTGTCTTTGGCTGTGGTGTATTCTGTAGTGCGTACTTCTACCGACTTCTTTGGCATTGATATGTTTTGAACTGTGGCGAAATGTTCCTGATGTTTCTCTTTGGCTGACGCTTGGGGCGACACGTGCGAGGGATGAGCTTAGTAATGCGAACTCTTGATCTCACAGCGGCTCTCGCCTCGCATATGTCGAATTTTGAATGTGTCTCCTTCGTTCTTTGTGGGTCGCGCCTCATGTTGTAGTGAGGTTGCGGGGCTCGCGTCGGTTGCCCAAGTCTTTGCCACCTCCGTTCCCCGTCAATGATCTGGCGGGCGAATGCGGCTGATCAGTG